CAGAATACCATGAAAAATGCATATTGGAAAAATCAGGGCATGACTCTTTTGAAATGAAACCAATGGCTTGATAAAAATAAAAACTCACTAGCATGTTCCAGGCTGTTGGTTGATTTTTCTTGATCCACAGGCTGGACTATCCTTCTAAATTAGCGACTGACTTTTACACTGAGCACTGGATGAAGAGGCTTAGGCTGAAAAGGCATGGTTCATACGTGATCATGGAAAACACACGCAGGCACAAGACACAGAGAGAAAGATTTGATGAGTAAGTGGCTTTTGCTTAGTCAGAACCTGAAGGATCTTCATCAAGAACTTTCAAAACAGCTAACAGATAGCTTGACTTTGAGTGAAACACAACCAAGAATTATTGTCATTATGCACACCCACAAAAAAAGAGAGATTTCACAACATCTCCTCAGATGAATACACACACAGAGAAAAGGCTTTACCAACACTTATTCAGGTGGGCAATCATCCGGCTTGCTGGAGAAATAACTCCTGTTTTGCCTCCTATTTTCCTAAGTCCTGCTTTGAGCCCGCTTCAACATGTTTAAACAATTAAATAAACTACAACACAAACTAGTATAAATAAAGATAGCTGCTTCTTTTCTTAAAAGCTGTGAAACATTAAATAACGTATGACTCCTGACCACATACGTGCCTTGCCAAGCCAGAGGATGACACAAGGGCATGCACTATTTTGCAGGATGGGGCATGAGATTCATCATGTCAGATTTGTATTCACTAGGTACAACAGGATCCATGACTTTCATTTCAATAGCAGCTGGAACAACGGGCACAGAAGGAACACGCAGCTCATCCTGGGAAATTAGGATGAATTTGTTTAAAAAAAAAAAAAAAAAAACCTTTCTTACTGAGAGCTATTAGTGGCAGACACAGATACTTGCTTTGGGGTCACACCATGTCAGCAGTTCACAGCACAAAGACTGCATTTCTCCCTTCTCTCCCCTCAGTGCATACTGCAGCTTCAAAGCATTTTACATGTATCCGTAGAGATGCTCATATGTATCAGGAGAGTACAGCTGTAGGCTTTAAAAAATGTCCATATGCCCTACAAATTCAAATCCTTTTTTATGTAATCTATTTAATCTTCCATTAATGATAATCTCTGCTATCAATGTGCCCAAACAGGGTCAATTTCTGCTGGATTTGCACTTCTAGCATTTCCATCCTATAACTGAGCTACATTTAATGAAGGGAAACACCCTGCTGTAAAAGGTATTAGCAGCCTCTCTAAAACAAAAAAATAGTTAGGAAGCTCTGCAACTGCCAGGAACATCTCAAGATTGTGGTTTTTATTCTTCCTTTGTGTGTCTTGCACAGAGGAGAGTCCTGCCAGCTGAACATTATTTATTAATCAGGACATTCCTGCCTTCTATACCCTGTAAGGAGACAGCCTAGAGGGACGGAAATTGCTGTGGATTTCTCTTACATACCCAACGAGTCAGAAAGGGAAGAAAGGAAGAGATTGCAAGGGAGCATTTAGACCACGACAGATCCCACCTGGCAAGCCCAGGCAGATACACACACACATCACAGCAGTCTGAAGAACCATGCAGCATATCTGGTTGAGAGAAATGAGAGCAGACATGTGGGTTGGAAATCTAGCTTCATTTGCTGCTTTGTTTTTAAAGAAGTGCCCTATACAGCTCCCCATACCTGAGTGAAACAGGCTGCACTGAGCTCCACAGAAGATTTTCCTTCTGGTAACTTCCAACTACCTTAGGTTCTACCTACGTGCAGGCTTGGACACACCTGTAAGGGCTGCTTCTCCCTCAATTACTGTGGCACACACCGGCAAAACGAGTCATTGCCTCGTTAGCTCTTCTGATTTAGTGATAGCTTCATTCGTAATCATTGCCAGCCATCCGCCACCTGCACACCCACCCACCCACACATACACATCCAATTTGCTGTTCTTCTCCCAATTTTGTCAATTCACAAGATCAGCTTGCACTGCCTGTCCTCTCTGCTCCAGTGCTTATCAACAAATAGGTTTAACAGACAAAATAAAGTTCATATTGCATTCCAACAAAATCCTCCAGCAGAACACCCCTACATTAGCATACAAAAGGGGAATCCTGGGCTGTAAAAGGGGTTCAACCGAGCTGATGTTCCCAGCAGCGGCAGCTAAGAGTTAATGGAGGACACCCGGCTTTTCACTTCCTCTACTGCAGCCAAGAAAGCGCAGAATACTATAATACAGTATAATTGAGCATTTCACTAAATAGCATCGCATAGAAGTTCTTTTGGCTCGGACTGCATTTGTCCTAAGTAACCTTTATGAGAAGCTGAAAGTTGACGCACCCAGACCAAATGAATTTTCAGCTTTAGCCCGAATCCTTCCGTTTGTGCTTGGGAGGGTGGGAAGAACCAGCCAGCAAGCATCAATCGGAGAACTAGCCCCCTCCTCTGCTTAAAAAAAAAATAGTCGGGTACGGCACCACGGTGCTGTGGCTACACACGGGAGCCGGCAGAGCGCTGGGATGGCTCTGCACATCCTCGGGGAGCCCCGGGCTCCTTCCCGGCGGAGCTGCCCGGGGCTCCTTCAGGAGAGGGGACGGAGAGAGCATCCCTGCGGAACCCGCCCTGGTTTCAAGGGAGACGAGCGTGCAGGAAGCCGAACTGAACTCCGTCACCAGCAGAGAAGCACATGCACAGCGCAGCCCGCACCTGCTGAGGACCACTCTCTCCACGCTGCCCTTTCGGGGGGGTCATCACTGGTCCCTCTCGCTCAGACACTCCCCAGCATCTCCCAAGTACCTTTCACAGACCAGCCTACAAGGGGAAAGGGGGTCTGCATCCTTCCCAAAACCACAACCGAAAAGCATTCTCCTCAAATGGCTGCTCCTGCCTCAACATCCATCACACAAGCAGGGAACTTGCCGGGGGTAAAAAGGGGGCGCAAGCAGGGAAGGGAGAAAGAAGCGCAAACTTCGGAGCTCTCCGGCTTCCCGCACGGCACGGGAGCGGCA